CCACCCGCGGGTGAGCAACAGTGGTGCTGCTGCTGCTGCTGCTGCTATCGGCATATTGGGCTATTTTAGTCATCTGCTTTTATGGAAATGAGAGTCTGTACATAGTAAATATGTACTGAGTAACTCTATTCTTTTGGTAAGATAATGGTTAGCCTTTGATAGTTCACATATATATATCCATGCCCGGAGACGATGGGATGGCCGGAGAAGATATCAATTTTTGATAGCTCCGCTCTAATGTTGTCGTATTTGGATGCTAGTTTGGTTAGATTTTAGGTTATTTGGAAATTATTTGCTACTCATCCATTCACGCTGAATGTAGTAGACATCTGGCTCTTTCAAGCAGAGCTCTTTCAAAAATATTTTAAAAAAAAATTAAAATTATTTTTTTAATAATTTTATATTATTTTAATATATTGATTTTAAAAATAATTTTTATAAAATAAAAAAATATTATTATTTTAAAATAATTTAAAAAATAATCTTTCTCACCCTTTCAGCTATATTTAAATTAATTAAGTATATTTATTATATAATAAAATAAATTATATTTTGAATCTAAAATAATAATAAATTAATTTTTTAATATAATATTATAGTTTTAATAGTCAAATAATCGTTTAAACCTTATTATTTTTATTTATTTAATAAAAATTAAATATAAAATAGTATAGATATATACAAGTTTTAATTTTAAAATATTTTTATTTAAAAAATATATTAAAAAATAAAATAAATTATATTTTAAAATATTATTTAATAATTTAAATTTTTAAATACATTTAATTTTTATAATGAAATTAAATATTGGTTTCACGGCAACTCGCCACGGCCCCAAGCAAGTCGTTAATTATTTCCGACTTGACTTGAAAAATCTTCTTCGGGATTGAGTGAGTACTGCCTGCGAAGAATAGCACATGCAAATCAGTGTATGGTTATTTGACTCCATGGATGTGCGGAACATACGAACACCGAGGATTCACTGTTATGTTAGTGCTTGTGGCCGCCCGGCTTGTGGCGGCAGCAACGCCGCAACCTCAATGTCATTAGTTTTTGCATACATGCCAACCGAAGAAACTGACTTCTTTTCTAATTAAATCGGGTTAAAAAACTATTTTTTTCAGAATGGAAAAGGGTATTGAAGGACTTTTGCTTTCATAGAGGTGGCGGTGGAAGTATGTAAGAATACCTAACTTTTTCAGGATAGGAGGCGGAGAGATGTCTCCGACCCGATGGAACTCATACTCCAACGGAGACTAGAGGGTATAAAGGTTAAGAGACGTCGACAACGGTGGAGGTGGATGGATATCTATCATCGAATTTATTTTTATTTCTTAGATTTTCGACACAAAATCACGAATATCTCCCGGTATTATTTTACTTATTAAAAAAAATAAAGATAAGTTTGAATTAATTTCCAAATCCATCGTATACTGTCAAATCACTAAGCATTCATTTGAATCCTCATACCCATCATAAACAACACGAGAAATGCTATGAACACTTCATCCCTTTTCTCTCCCTTGCTCGATCGTTTTCTCAAAAAAAAAAAAAAAAAAGACGGAGTGTCTGGTAAATCTCTCGTTTTACGCGTCTTCTTATTTTGTATTAACCTATACAACTATTATCAAGTCCGTTAAGCCTAATCTATTTGTAAGTTCAGAATCCTTCAAGCCTTACTGGGCTTGAAAATAACCCCTACAGATTTAGGGGTAATGCTTATTTTTAAAGTAATTTTTTAAAAAATATTTATTAATATTTTTTATTTTTAAAAAAAATATTTTTAATTTCAGCATATTATAAAATTAATTAAAAATAAAAATAAATTATTAAAAAATACTTTTAAAATATAAAATTAAACCATCCTTTATAAAAAAAAGTTGAAGTTTTTCTCTAATCATTACCTGAACTAAATAGAATAGTAGTTTTTAAAGGGGTAATTTTAAATTTATTTCCCTAAATAAATTACTTTTAATCACATAAGCACCAGATTAATATTGTTAAACATATTTAATTAATCACACATGAGCCTATTCGAGAAATAACGAGATAATTATGGTATTGATGTACTAATCTCACTCGGTTTCTAAACCAGATGCATAATTTTTAATTTTGTTATTTGAATATATCAATTTTCTCAATCGGTATTTAGAACCATCTCCTTTACTAGCAAATATAACTTCTTCTTAAAAATATAACTTCCTCTTAAAAATATAACTTCCTCCTTTTCTTTTCTTTTTTTTACTTTATAAAAATATATCTCAATTAGTCGATCTAAATTTACTTGTTAGAAATTATTAATTTAAATGTTATAAATCTTAAAGTTTTTTAAAGTTTATATAATTATTAATTTTAAAATTTTAAAAAAATAACTAGATGTATATAAATTGATTCAAATATTTATAATTATCAAAATAACTATACATGACAAGTTTTACGGTATCATGCCAATCCTGGCCGTCGATTTGAACAAGAACATGAGGTAGTTTACTGACAAGGAGGGCGCCTTCCAAGAAAGCACCGTCGCACCACTAGGTATCATGGCAACAATAGACGGCCAGCAGCGTATTAAATAGTTAGATAAAGTCTACAGAGCTATAAACTATAGATAAAAAGCTTTCAGACTCATTGACGCCTTTGCCGTCTACATGCACTATCATCTGTGGTGATGGCAGTGCTTGACATCACTTGATTTTTTTTAATTGTTGTTATTGAAAATAAATTAAAATTTTTTAAAAAATATTTAATTATATCATTAAAAATAAATTTTTATTTTTTAAAATTTATTAAAAAATAAGATTTAAATTTTATAAATAAAAAATTTAAAGAAGTATGAAATTGAAGAAAATCCACTTTCATAAATTATTTTAAATAAAAATAAAAAATAAAAATTAAAAAAATAAAAATCAACTATGACATATAACAAAAATTAAAAAAGAATGAAATTAAAAAAATAAGAAAAAAATAAATTTTATAAATTATTTCAAACAAAATAAATAGCATCAAAAGAATGAAAACTAGATTTAAAAAATAAAAAAAAATATCAATACAGAAAACGAGAAATGAAATTAAAAAAATTAAAAAAATATATATAAAAATTAATAAATAAATAATTAAATTTGATATAATCAGTAAATAATAAAATATTTTAAATTTTTTTAACTTTAAAAAGTATTTTTATTTAAAATAAAAACATTCTTTTTTTAAATAAAAATATTTTTTTTTTACTACTTCATTGATTAGGAAATAAATACATAGAAATTTTAAAAATAATTTAGAAAAACCACTCCCTATCTAACAAACCACCGTAATATTGAATTTGTAAATACGGCAGCAACGGGTCAATATTAGCAGATGCGGAGTACAGCACATAACACGCTTATCATGTTTATACTTTATATTGGTAGTTTGACTTGAAAAAATCCTTCGTCTTTCTGCTATCAAAGAAAGCAACGAACACGCGTCAGTTTCTCGCCCGGAGTAGATTTGCTTGTTCTTTATGCCACCACGTGTGGAAAATGCTTTTGTGTGACCAGTCACCGTTTCTTACAAGTAAGCTGTCACTTCAAGACGTGTCGACACTGTTGCTGCCACCGGGGTGGCTACGGCGCTTCCTCTGATAAGGTTTTGACTGTGGCTTAATTATTTTTTATTTAAAATAATATTTTTTAATTTTTTAAAATTTATTTTTTACATTAAGATATTTAAAAATATTAAACAAATAAAAAAATAAAAATACAAAAACAAACTAGTTATAGAAGTAGCCACGACTGATATATATACCCCGTCATCATGGAAATGAATATTAATTTGTAATCATCTAGGTGGTGACCAAGTGTTAAGGACTTGGGATCAAGAGGTTTGTTCTCTTTTTTTAAAATAATATTTTTTAATTTTTTAAAATTTATTTTTTACATTAAGATATTTAAAAATATTAAACAAATAAAAAAAATAAAAATACAAAAACAAACCAGTTATAGAAGTAGCCACGACTGGTATATATACCCCATCATCATGGGAATGTCGTTAATTTCAGGGCCCGTGAAATTAGTCATAGTGCACGCAAGCTGGCCTGAACATCCACGTTAATAATTAAAAAAAAAAATATTAATTTGTACCCTTCACCTAGATAATGAATCAATTCAGAGTAGCAGGAGAAACTTGAAAATTGTGAAGGTTGCATTGCACCCAGTGATAAAGCCTTGAAGATCTCCACACCCAGAAACACGTAACTTTTATAATCTGTTTTTGTATTTTTAAGGTTGCATTGCACCCAGTGATAAAGCCTTAATAAAATTTTATTTTATTCTTGAAGATCTACACACCCAGAAACGCATAACTTTTATAATCTGTTTTTGTATTTTTTAAATTTGAGTTATTTATTACTAGTAGCACAACTCTTTTAATTTTTTTTTTGAAGTTGTGCTGCTGGGAGTAATGCAAGCAATTAAATTGCGCTACTCCCAATAGTGTGTCCACTTAATTATGTTATTTTTTTTATTTTTTCCTAGTTGTACTAGCTTGCTCGTTATTTTAGCTAATTATTTTTGCTAGTTGTGCTGTTTTCTGAAAAAAAAAAAAAAGAACTCTAAGATCCATGGGGTCCCTCAATTTCAACTTAAAATTTTGATTTGTTTCCATCAGCCCTTATGATAGTAACAATACATTTGTATAAATTTGTGGAGTAATTGTAGGACCGTGGACGACTGTATTGCCGGAATGAGAAGGTTGTAATCCCTAGTTCCCTTCTAAGAAGTTCTGTGCTGGTTCCAGGAAAGGAACGGCGGCAGCATTCCATGCAGCACCGTTGCCTCCTAGTCATGAGAGATTATTGCACGAGACCCGCATAAATCATGTCCGATCCACTATAAAATGATTGTGGAGAAACGAGTGGACTCAAGATCAATCACGCTCATGAAATAGTTTCTCCATTAGCTTTGCCATTATAGATGGCCAGCAACGTGTTAAACAAGTGGCAAGGAAAATCGTACAGATCTATAAACTAGATAATGCGCACACCTTCCATTGGCACTCGAGAAGCTTATCTCAAGGATTCATCACATGTACACCTTATCATGTAACAAACCATTTTTTAATGGTGAAAATAACAAAATAATGGCCAAAGATGTAAGCCACACAAGAGCCTCTTTTGTAGCTGGAATTTTTATTTTTTCTAACAATAAAAAAAGACTCAAAATAGAGCGGCAAGCAAAACTAAAGAGGAGACCTCGAACTCTAGTAAAGAAACAAAGAGTATCTGTAAAGTTGCATTATATGGTGTACGGAATCCTCTGGAGACTTGACACAACTTTGAAAATAAGCAGCAAGCTAAAAGGCAAGGCCACTCTACTTGAAAGAATCAAAGAAGCTAACAGTGTCGTTGAGTGCCTGGATGAAATAATCAACATCCTCTTTAGTGTTGTAAAAATAGAGGCTGGCACGTGCACTTGCATTGATTCCTAAATACCGATGGAGAGGTTGAGCACAGTGGTGACCCGATCTGATAGCCACTCCATGCTGAGGGCAAGTGTGTTAGTTTCCATCAAGATAATCTCCTCATCAATGAACAGTCACAAAACCTCTCAAATTGTATATAGCATTTATGGCTTTAGAATCTGTAACATCTTTAAGAATGCAAACTTGACAGGTTTACTAGTAATGAAGACCTCATTTGTGTTCATACCTGTTGGTCAAGAAAAGTTGCAAGATCCGTGGGGTGAATATTCTTCACATTGAAAGAACAAAGCGCGGCACGATCGACTCCTTTGGAAGGTTTTGGGCCATAGATACGGATGTTAGGAACAGTAGAGAGGTTTTCATATAGATAATTAGCCAGCTCCATCTGCCTCAAAAAAACAAGAAGAAGAGGTAAACGGACAAGATAAAAGAATAGATATCACCCATCATTTCAGACTGAATAGTATTATTATAATTGTTTGTGTATTAATGTAATGGATTAATTAAACTGGCCTTTGTTTTGTTTTGTTTTACTTTCCTTGAATTTAATGCTGTTTGTTTAATGTTGCTTTGTTATTTTAAACTCAAATCCGCATCTGCTGGTAAAATCAACATGGTTAATTATATTGGTAGCATTTTTGTTTTGATGACCGTTGGGTTTCGATAACTCACCTCATACTCGTGAATCTTTTGCATGCCAATTCCTTGCAAATAATCGATTGCTGCTCCTAATCCAATTGCTTCACCAATTGCTGGTGTTCCAGCCTCAAATCTAATCCGTAAAAAAGAGTGAATTCGAAACTAGATCATTAATATGAAACAAAATCTAACAATAAGTACCTTAATAAAATTTTGTTTTAATCAGATGTTCAGGCAAGAATGACAGCAAGTGGGAAGAAAGGAGCAAATTCGCACCACATCCTTTAGCCCCTTGCAATGATTTATGAGATCCAATTGTTCAACAAGTAAACAACTTAACCAACCTTGATGGAGGTTCTGCATATGTGGAATGATCCAAAAATACATCAGAGATCATTTCTCCTCCACCTATGAAAAGCAAAACAAAACATTAAGACAAGCTTGAAAGTATCATTTCATACAACTTTTTTCCTAGGCCTACAGACGTAAACAACTCTAGGTTCTAAAAGTAACTTACCCAAAAATGGAGGCATGGTAGACAAGATGTCACTTTTACCATATAAAAATCCAACGCCTGTAGGCCCACACATCTGGAGCATGGTTATCTCTTTAACTTTATATACATGCCTAAAGCTTATATTTCATTGAACAAGGCAATAACCTAACCTTGTGTGAAGAGGCAACAAGAAAATCAGCATCAAGGTCCCGGACATTGACCGGCATGTGCGGAACACTTTGACAAGCATCTACAAGAACTTTTGCCCCAACAGCATGTGCCCAACGGACGATGTCTTCGATAGGAAGAGAAGAAGCTACAGAAAAAAATTATATGGACCATGTTATTAGCTATTTCTTCTTCGTAATGATTCTCGGAGAGTGATTCATAAGGTGAACATAATATTGTGGCTTGTTCAAGTCTTTAAAAGACCTGCAAAGGCATGGACAATAGTGATATGGAAAACACAATGTGTTGCAAACAGCTAACAGAAAAAGCAATTAACATCAGACAAGTATATTTTCTTACTTGAATTAAGTTGACATGTAAAATCCTTATTACAGCAATAATGTGTCATTAGTGCATAAAAGCAAACATCAATATGATAAATCAACAAGTATAATGACAGTGTGTGAGGTTTTCCAAGCTAAGTATACAAGTTAATCAAGGATAATAAAGTTTATACCAACAAGGCGGCCAAGATCTACGACCATTCATTATGAAAAATGTTGTCAAATTTTATACAATAAAGGATAATGATACTCTTCTCACTTGCACATTCTGCAAGAATGTAAACATATACTACGAAACTACTAGAAAGTGAGGAGAAAGAGAAGGGAAGCAAAGAAGGAAGATGCCTGCTGGAACGCTGGAGATGAGGAGGGAGGGAGGGGAGGGGTGAGCTTATAAAACTTAAAGCCCCCTGAACGTTTGAAACCCTTTTCTTTGTTTAGATTTTAAAACATGAACTATAGCACGTTTGGATTGGAACACCTCAATCCATGTTCAGACCGGGAACTTCACTATTCTAGCCACCAAATCACCCCAAAAGACCACCAAAAATTCCTTTCAACCTCATAAATAACATTCCAATATCAAAAACCATTTTCAAGCTCAAATCAGACACAAGAATTTAAGTTTAAATTTTTAGATCCAAATTTCAAACCTTAAAACACCCAAATCTGGTGGTAACAGGGTCCAAGATTAGTATGGATGACTTGCGTCGATGAGACATTTCATTCAATGGTAGTATCACTGCAAGTTTTGGCCAAAGCCTAACAGAGGGTGTCCCAATCCAAACACCCCATAATTCATGTATTAAAGTCAAAACAAATATACATGTGTGTGTGTGGGGTGGGTGGGGGTCAATCAAAATAGGTGAAAGTTTAAGGAGGGTCTATGCATTCGAGCCCAATATTGCATATGAAATACACACTAGCTGGTTGTCAAACTGTGTAAAAACAGAAGCAATCCCTTTATATATTTCATGGCATTTTAAACAAGTATTTGAAACCACATCAGCAGCTAATCAAAATCACGCTGTGGCATAAGCTCAGTTCGGTATATAGCTAAAAGACTACTGTGTTAAGCAAAACTTCACCAATATCCTTCAAAGATTTCACTAGAAGTAACCATTCCTCTTGTTCATGATGGTCCATATGGATATTACATCTTGGTCAAATTGGACGACTGAATAGGCAAAAGAGAATTTCATATCATGCACTAAAATTTAGAAAAACCAATTCCTATTTGTTCATGAGCAAAATCACTCACAATTTCAAACACGGTCAATGAGAATGCAGATACTGAGGCGGACAAACATACCGAGTGTATTTGATATATGGTGCACCACAACAAGTTTTGTCTTGCTAGAAATCATTTCTTTCAATTGAAGTACATCCGGAACTTCATCCTCATTTAAATTAACAAACTTCAAAACAGCTCCGGTCTTCTGAGACACAAATTGCCATGGAACAATCGCACTATGGTGTTCCGCAATGGTCAATAAAACCTAAACACGCACAGAATACTATGTGAGTGCCTAATTAAAGAGAGCATAACTGAATACTATGTGAGTGCCTAATTAAAGAGAGCATAACTGAACGCAAAAAATTGAACAACAGGAAACAGCTAGAAAGAAGCGCCCACCTCATCTCCTGATTTAAAATTTGCAAACCCCCAAGTATAAGCAACCAAATTAATAGCTTCAGTGGCATTTCTGGTAAATACAATCTCCCTAGATTCTTCTGCGTTTATAAATGCTGCAATTTTCTCCCTCGCCTGTTCATATTTTTCTGTTGCCTTTGCACTGCAATTTCCCAAAAAAACTGTTCATATTTTTCTGTTGCCTTTGCACTACAATTTCCCAATTTTTTTTTAATAAGTACACATTTTCAATTAAAATCACACCATTAAACACCAAAATTTGGAGAGAGAGAAAATGACAAAATTTAAATTTTTTGGGTACCTTAAGTAATGGATTCCTCGATGAACATTGGAATTGTAAGATTCGTAATAATCTTGCAGGGCTTTTAACACCGAAATTGGTTTCTGTGAAGTAGCTGCGTTGTCCAAGTAAACAAGATTTGACCCGTTATTTATCTTCTGCAAACACACACGGAATGATAAAATCAGAATTGCGAATCGTTTTTGATAAACAAGAACCATAAAATAACATGGGGTTGTTATGAGTTACCTGGTGGAGGATGGGGAAGTCGGGTCGGGTTAACTGACCGAGTGAAACGGAGTTGGAAGCCCGGCCTGCTTCTCTGAGAGTAGTACCCGATGCTGATACGGGAAGTGAAGAGGAGGAGGAGGAGAATTTGCGGAGAAGAGATGGGCTTCGAATGGTGGAGGTGTTAGGGTTTAGGAATTTGAAAGAAGGGAATTTTAAGGCCATACCGTCCATTTATGATTTTCTATTAGTGGCGGCAGATATTACAGAAATTGCTAAAACATACAGAGAAGGTGAGAGTTGCCGTTCGAACGGTTGTTTTTGCCTTGTGGCCCCTCCTCTTATCTGGGCAGCGGGCCGGTTTGGACTTCGGAGCGCTACTCTTCTTATCCGGTGTCTCGTAAGGTCAATGTTTGTTTAAAAACGCCGATGTTTGTTTTTAAAATATATTAAATTGATTTTTCCTGTTTTTCTCCATAAACGTTCCGAGTCTAATTAAAACGCTGATGTAATAAAATCAGCAAGAATCATAACAACAACGCATGATTAGAAAGGAAAATTACATTTTTTTTATGCGAAATTCTGATCACGAACTTGGATTCAAAGGAAAATTACATTTTTTTTATGCGAAACTTGGATTCTCACTCTGGACATGACGTTAATTTAGGAATTCAACATCGGATGATTGTCTGGGAGATTACAGAATTTGATTGGAATACAAAGTGGAACTAAAGTAATTAAACTATCAGGTTATAAGTGCATCTATGAGCCTATGGGGGTTCCTACCCACGGCTCTTGCCAAACATCATTTAGGTATGCTAGAACTTAGGAGGAAGAGCATTGAGAGTTGTTCGCAGTGTCTAAATTGTTTTGTTGTTGTGTTTATGTCTCCATTTAATTTTTCATGAGTGTATTTGATATTGAAGTAATAATGATTTTTTTAATTTTTTTATTTAAAAATATATTAAAAATATATTTTTAAAAAATAAATTTTTAATATTAATACATTAAAATTGTTTAAAATACTAAAAATAAACTTTAAAAAATAATAAATAAATTTTGATCTCAATGCAAAACATAAAATAACTTATATTTAGATGATATTTAGTTAGTGTTTCAGGATAAAAAAGATATAGATAATTGAAATAAGAAAAAGATAGATAATATAAAAAATATACACATAATTAAATCTGCCGGTAATATACAAAATAAAATAATTATTTATTATAATGTTTAGTTGATAGCATACTGAGCATGATAAGATATTAAAATCTATATTTTATTCTTAATCTTATCACATGCATAGCTTCATTGTGGGGGGGGCTAAGTTTCTTTCTTTTTTTCAAGACACTGGTATACGAATTCAATTAAATATTTTTCGCCTTGAATTTTTTTTCACTTCCTCGAATTTAAGATAAAAAACAAAAGACATATATGTATCGTCATAAAACACAAATCCCAAAAGATGTTGTCAGTTTTCAATACAGATGCTAGTTCCCGCCACTTGTTTTTCAACAGGTGTAATGCTCTTTAAATTATTATTGTTATTTTTAAAAATATTTTTTATTTAAAAATATATTAAAATAATATTTTTAAATTTTTAAAAATGATTTTTAATATTAGTATATTAAAATAATTTAAAATTATTTATTTAAAAAAAAAACTACAGGACCGATAATGTATGCAATGAAGGGTAAAGATAGAGGACCAAGGTAAACTTCTTGCAATAATTGTCAAAGAGCTGCCGAATTTCTCTGTATTTTTAACAATGATTTTCTGTCTTTAAACCCTGGCCTTATACAACAAATTATAAATAATTGAGCACGAATACTGCCTCGTAAGGATCAAATCAAAGAAAAAAAAAGTTTGATGATCAAAATAAAAAAAAACCTCACTGCTGGTAAACTATACGAGGGTGAAAAGTGTTTTAAGCTACAGTGAAAACATCACACAACTTAGTTTCTTTCATAATAATTATAATATCGTATAATCTCTGGTAATCATGTATTTCACATTGGAAATTAAGAATCGAATTTAATTATGGAGAATTTTCCGATTTTTTTAACCTCTACACAGGCCGGACCAAATCAAGTAAATAGTGATCCTCCATGATTGATGGAGTCATAACATCATAGAATTTTCCTCTCGAGAGTTTATTCTCAGTGTACGAATTATCTTGAATAAAGAAGAGGCATTGCTTTGCAGCACATTGTTAGCTGAGTTTTTTTACATGCAAAACATTAATCTAATCTCATCATTAATGTGTGGAATGCCATCAACTTGTATACACGTTGACTCATCTATTGTTATTTATAAAATATACAAATTATTTATATTGTTTTTTTTATTTCAACATGAACCATCACATGATTATATAGATTTATTTGCTGATAAAAAAAAATAACAAAAATACCTACAGTGTTAAGCGGGTTTCAAACTTGTTCATGTTTTAACTATGTTTATTATTTAGAATTTATTTTTAAAAAAATTACTTTTTAAAATTTCATGTATTTGTTTGCTATTAAAAAAGTTGGTCAATGAAAAATACTTTTCAGTTAAAAAAAAATTTAGCTTGGTTTCCAAAAAAATATTTTTCTAAAAAATTTAGGCGGAAAACACTTTTCCGGAGTATTTTTATTTTATTCTAATCGAAAAACACTTTCTAAAAATTATGAAAAATTTAAAAATATCATATTATTTACTAATTATATTAAATTTATTCCTCAAATTTTTTATTGCTATATATATTTTATTTTGAATATTTATTTTTCAATTTCATCACTTAACATTTAATTTTTATATTAACTTTGATACTTATTTTTATAATTGCTATTTATTTTTTCCTTATCATTTTTTTTATTGAAATTTTTTATCTATCAAATTTAATCCTCATTCTTTTGATTTT